TTTTTTAATAAGAAAATCTTTTCCACGAAGAATTATCGAGCGATTGAAACGCGAAAATCTCGAAAATCGACTGTCGGATGGACGAAAACGGCGCCGTCGTCTTATTGCTGCATTATTGACTGTAAGATCGTGACGGTATTAATCACTTAATCGCTAGTACTTTCGCAATACTTTCGCAATACTTTCATCCAGATTTGATCTGGACGATTCCGAACTTAATTAATCCTCTGGAGGGAATTGGAGCTTGAAATCACTCTACATTTTATTTTTTTCGTGGAAAAGCTGTTTTTTAGATTCTTGATGAATTAGTTCTTGCTTCAACATCTCTTTTCGTTAATTTTTGATTATTTATGATATCTCTTTTGTCTCTTTATTCAATCTTGTCATTTTCACGGAAAAGATAAAATTGTACGGTTCGTTCTTCCGCTTATCGGATAAATAAGATACTTAGTATTTGAAAGGCTAATCTATCCTCTTTTTCCTTTTCTTTTTTTTCTCTTTTTCTCCCTCAAGGGTTTAATTAGCACTTCAATAGTACTCTAATAATTAATACTTTCATGGCCAAAGGCGTTTCCATTACTAAAAGTACTTCTCCATATCTTCACCTCACGATATCTTACATTAAACATCAGTCATCGTTCTTTTTACCTCTAATATCTTTTCTACCAATGCAGATTAATTTTGATCTTGGTTTAGCTTACCTTTTATCTTTCTCTAATTTTAGGAACTAGAAAAAGATGGAAAGTAAGTTAAACCGCGATTAAAGTTAATCTACATTGATAAAAATAAACATAAAACTTGAATCGTACTTCTCGCTGTTCGATTTTTTCCGCGTTGTCATCGTTTAATTCCATGACTCGCATTGTAATCGACCCTTCACGGTGCAAAATGGGGGAAGAGATGGAGAAAAAAGTAAGACAAAAATTGATTCCTTAATTTGATTCACCGCTGGCGACCGTGCCGTCGGTCGGAGGGCCGGTCACGATTTGAGGCTCGCTCGCGGGTAGCCCCTGCATCTCCTGCACCCCCTGGAACAGCTTGCCAGGGAATCCCTGCAGGAGATCGTAGGAGACCGGCGTGGGCGGCAAGGCGGTGGTGTGCGCGTGCGGCGATTGCAGGACGGCGATCACTCTTCGGAGCTCCTCCAAGGCGTTTCCTGCGCGAACGGCACGTTTCTTATTAGTCAAATTAATTAAATTCAATTTTTAGTTCAACGAAGGTCACGTCACGAGGCTCGTTACCTTGCATGAGGATGTAATTCTTCGCCAGCAGGAGGGTAGCGATCTTGGATAGCTTCCTTACCGACGGACTATGAGCGTAAGGGATGACGGAGCGAAGCTCGTCCAGGGCGTCGTTCAAATCGTGCATCCTCCTGCGTTCTCGCGCGTTAATATTCAGCCTCACGCTCTTCCCCTGGCGAGTCGTCTTCGACTTTGGGGGACAGTTCAGTCGCGAAGCTGTGGGTCTAAAAAGAATTATGGGATTGCATATATATAGATATTATTAATCACATTTTTGATTGAAATTTTTCGGATGTATTCTTTAGAAACATATTTTATCAAATGTGCGTTACAATTATCGATATATTCAGTTATTTAGATATTTCTCCATCAAACTTCCCTCTATCTTATCTTCTCGTTCCATTCAATCGACTTTTTAAATGACTCTTGATTAAATTGAAACTTTAATTTGGATCGAAAACGTACCTCTCGTCCGGTCGATTTTCGTCGGACAACGCGCTCGACGAGGCGTGTGGTTGCGGTTGTTGCTGAAAATAAAAGCCACCGAGACCTACGGTACCCAACGGAGTCCTTCGTCCTGGGGCGCTTTGAGTGTGCTCCGACGAGTATGCCGCCGGGGGGCCCGAGACACCTGGATGCGAGGCCCCTGCCGTCGAGTACACGGACTCGAGGGCTGCCGCGGATTGTGGAGGCAGTGGATGCTGGAAGAAATATCCTTCTGTTAAAATTTTGAATGGGAAGTGTAGAAATATTTATGGAATTATCATACTCGCATTATTATATTTCTTGGACATACAGGGTGTTTCCTAACATGTGGATTCCACTTCAGCAGTGGATAGGAGACACGAAAACAATGAAAAAAGTTCATATTAAAAATTGTCATATTTAAAGGAGCAATTTATCCGTGACTTTCTGCTTTTATATAACTCGGTATTTATACTCAAATACTTGTCTTCAAATTTCTGGAGTTAAATTTCTTTAATTTTATATGCCAACTTACTAGAAGCTAATTCCAATTTACCCGTTCTATTGTTGCTCAGAAAATATCGTAATTCTGTTTCTTGGATTACTTTTTAAATTTTGCAATTATCCACGCGAAATCGTCAACGGTTCTTCATGTTCTCTTTTACTTACGGCATTGCGATGCTCCCAGGCCCAGGTAGGATGCGACGCGGTTCGTTGCCAGGATCCTTGTTGCAGATGCGACTCCGGCAAGCCCTCCCTGCGATCGTCGTCCTCCGTCGAGCTACTCTCGCCGTCATAGGACCTCATCTCTCGTGAGGAGATTTACTTTCCCGATTTACCCGGCAAATCCCTTCTTGCGCTCCTTGCCCTCAATCCCTACATTCGCAAATTTCAACTTTACACTTTCTCCCGTCATAAAAGGAAACCTCGTTCGAATTTATTTCATCAATGAAATATATTTATTTTGAAATTTTTCGCAATTTTTAAACATAATTTTAGAAATTGTTCAACTTATTTTTTTATCTAATACGAGTCCTCGTTCCTAAATCTTTTCGCGCTTTCGCACAAATAATTTGTTCAATCTCACTGGAACTTATTTTATTAATGCAGTTTATTTAATTTTCACATCTATAATAATTATTAAAGCTTAAGACGTATGAATTGACCTAACTGGCAATAATTTATTACTATATTGGTCATAATAGTCATCAAGACGATACCACCGTAATTTAGTTCGATTATTATCAAGGCATACTTTTTGACCAAGGATTTAGTCATTATAATATAATGACTAAATCTATTATATTATATATTATATTATATATATATTATATTATATTATAATGACTAAATCCTTGATCAAAAAGTATGTCTTGACGATAATCGAACCAAATTATACGTCTTGACGACTATAATGACCAATATAGTAATAAATTATTGCCAGTTAGGCCGATTCATATACGTCTTAAGCTTTATTATTTCGAACTGGCGAATTACAATTGTATTATAATTATTAAATATTTAGTCTTCAAGGTTTTTTATTTATCTGAAAAAAATCCGTGTTTGATTTTATTAACGCGATACAGTTTTACCTCTCGATGACTTCAAATTTCATTCGCCCGTTCTCAAGGAAGATTTTTATTTCCATCTCCGCGTTTTTCTGTTTAACGAGGCATCGCCGCCATTCATAAACAGAATAGGAGGCGTCATCGGTCGTTCTCAACGCAATCAATATCAAGTGGAACACTTACCGACGACAATTTTCTTTTTCCACTCCCCGCGCGTGCCCCGCGGGGTGCAGAATCCGGCGATCAGCAAAGTTTCTCGCGCCCCAGCGCGCAACGCTCGGTCATCCCTCCGCGTTTCTCTCAACAACCGTCTTGTACAAGCAGTTCGGGAACCCTCAAGAATCCCGAACCTGCGCGGACTGCCGTGACCTCCTATTGTCCTGCCGTCGAGATCACCCGATTCGACCAGTCACAACAGCCATTTTAATTTGCTAGGGCTGACCGACGCGAAAAAAAATATACCGTGACTCCTTCGTAGATCTCTTTTACAGGACTTTCGTCTCGCGGAAGGGATGCTTTATAAATTCTTGAGTTTCCTGTTTCACGCTAATGATTTTTAAAGTCGTTCCTGACGAAATTATCGCGCCCGAGCGTCGCACGTCCGAGGCGTCGGGGGCACGCACGCGTCTCTCCCCGTTATTTGGCGGATCCTGCGCAGGAGGGAGCGCAACCCCTAAATTAATTCAGCCGCTGCGTGCCAGGGTGCGCCGCTACAGCCGAGGGATGCTGCGCTGGACCAGCGACTGGCGTACCCTGGCGGGTCGGGTCGAAGATCACCCTCGGGAGCGTCTTGTTACCATCGGGAAAGGAAAATCGTGTCCAAGAGAAGCAAGAGAAGTCGCTAGTTGCAGGATATAAATTTTACGTAAGAGGGAAGGCGTGCAGTTTTTTAATCTTTAACGACAGTTACTCATGAGAAATGCATATAAAAATCTCTTATGCAGTAGAAGTAATTTTGGAGCTAGAAATTAAAAAGTTGCGAAGAAAGTTTGAAAGTTAACGATTAAAATGGAAGATGGGCTGCTAAATAAAAAATCTTTATCAAGGAAAAATGTATTCCAAACTTGCGCACATGTACTCTTAGCAAGGAAATTATTCCTGAATTAGTTATTAATTGTTATACCTCAATAATCTATATTCTTTTACTTACACAGGCCAGCGAATAAACAAATAATGAGTTATAGTTAAATAAATATATTTGGCAAACACAACTGATAAACGCAGCAATATTTATTCCATTATAAATACTGAAATATTTGTTAGTATTATAATTACATTTTATATATCAACTGTTTCATCTGTTTCTCTAAAATTCTATATATACATGTTTATTATTATACTAAACTCTATATCTATTATACTAAACTACCTATATCTGTTGCCATGTCAAACACGCGAGACCCCTCTTAATATAGACCCTTCGCTATTACAAGAAATTAATCTCGTCAATCTCCCGCGATTTTACCATTTTCTCTTCCTCTTCTCCTCCACTTCTCCGTCCGATCTACTGTGTGTCGCGTTCACAGCTTGCCGGTATACATCGTCGTTGAATTTACGATTAACAGACACGCGTTAGCACGCGGAAAAACACCGCGAGCGTCGTCGGGGATGCCGAGACAATTCGGCGACGACCATCACCCCCTCTGCGTGTGAATCACCCGCCCGCGAGCGTTTCGCCCCACACCGCACGAACGCGAACGAACGGGTGAGAGAGAGAGAGAGAGAGAACCTGGTTAGTTTTACTTTTGCATCGATGTGTGTCTGTGTGCGTGCGTGCGAGTGTACGCGGGTGTGTTTTGCGTGCGTTTACCGTAAACACAACGCGATGCAATAATATTCCGCGCTGCCGCGCCGCGGAGAAGCGGGGGCGCGGGACTCGCGTTGAGACGCCCGCAGCTTCGACATCGCATGAATTAATCGAAGGGATTAAACGAGGTTGTTGTTTGCACGCGTACTTTATTTTCACGGCCGGGAGGATAATTAATGCCGGCGCACGAGTATTTGGAGGTGACTAGCGGATGCTTTATGGGCGAGATATAATAAATTTCCGGAAACGCGCGCCCGAAATAAATCCCCCGCGTGCATTTGAATTAAACCGGAGGCTTCACTCGCCCTGGTATACTACAATTGGATTATTCTTAGTGTAATTAATTAATATTCTTATATTTTTATTATACGGGTATTAAAATATATAGCCGTGAAATAAATCTCTAATAAATCTTATGTCAGAAATATATTTAAATTACTAAATCGTGTAAATTCCCTCGTGATGTGTTATTTCTTGAAGTAACTGTCTTGAATGTAGCTTGAAATAAATCTGTCTATGAATTTATTTATATTCTAATCTAAACGAATTAAGTTCTCGCTTTTAAAAGCGACTTGGATATATAATTAAGTTTTTCTCTTATATTGGCTCGAATAAGTTTAATAAACAATTAATCAAAATGGAAATAGACTTGGTAAGAATAAATAATAAGAAGAAGGAGATATACTCAAAGAAACATAATGGCCAACTTAGCGCGGAGTTAAAAATAATCGAAGAACTTTATAATATTTAAATTCCCATTCCGTCGTGAGCGACCTGAGAATGAAAGAGTTGAATCATTGAAGCACGCGTCGATGTACTTCGCTCGCTCACTCGCGCGAGATATGCGCGAAATCTTTCTGGGTCGAGCAGCAACCGTAGCGCCTGAAGATTTATCGTTTCCTTCGCACCGAGAAATAGCCCGAGATTTCGAAAATGATTGCGAATGCGTCTGTGCTTCTCTGTATTGCACAAAATTAATCATGCCAGCATCCAAACCCATTAATAGAGAAGCATAAAGTACTTTATATTAATTTACTGTGATTGTAAATGTATTCTTATTTATTGTTCTTAAAATTTCTCTTAGTGATCGTCTAAAGTTCTAATATATGTGAACTGATATTCTAGATTTTTATAAATTCTTTCTATAATTATGTTTCCTTGATAATGCGTTACAAGGCAATTACAATTTTTCTCACGAACAACTCGGAAATATTGTCTCGAATACAGGACGTTTAAAAAATTGTAAACACTATTATTAAACAGTATTATGTTTGACTACATGATTACGAAGTATGATTGCGATTATTTTACTTTATTAACATAAATACATATATTTCTATAAATTTTTCAAGCAGCGCTTAAAAAAATAATTTTGAAATGGTTAAATGCCGCTATTATCATCTCCCGTAACATTGTCACGAACCTCTCTCGTTATCGTGTTAATATTATTTATTAATGATACCTCCTCTATAAATTCGTAGCAACTCCAAACATTTATCTTGCTACATTTAAATACTACCTTTATTACTTTTGACAACATTATCAGAAACCAGGATCTGTCCCAGTTATCTTTTTTCACTAATATTGCATTGTCTCTCGGTACTTTACGCATTCGTCTCATAAATCTCAAGCGGATCAGAAAGACCTGCTCTGAAAGGATTAAACGCGACCGTCATCACCTATGATAACGTTATCAGGAAACAGGCCCTGTCCCAATTATTTCCGAAAGGAAAGACGTGCATCGACGAGCAACCGGAGGCAGATCGCGGGAGAGAGGGAAAAGGATCGCATGTACGCATATCTATCGGTCGTACCGTTCGGTATGTATATATTGCGAGGCTGATGATAGAGAAAGAATGATAGAGAGAGACAGAGAGAGAGAAAGAGAGAGAGATATATATATGGAGAGAGATAGAGAGAATTGTGGTTGTCGTTCGGGGGTGGTTTTCGGGCCGACCGACGGGCGGCCGGACTCCTGAGGGATGAGGGACGACGAGGGTTGCCAAGGCAACCCTCCGTGCCAGCCAGCCTCGGCTTACTTTAGCCCGCTCGCTCTCGCGATCAATACAGCATCCCCCGGCGAGCTCCCGGACCAAACGCACCCCCTCCCGTCCCCGCTGCCCCCCGTCGCCGCGCCCCGCCGCGCACCCCTCCGCTGCTTTCCCCGAAGTACCCTTCCTCCGCGCGCCTCCTTCTCCTTACGTGCCTCTCCACGTGCGCATTACCGTCGACCGTCACAAGCCAACCCCCCTCGCGCCCCCCCCCCTTTTGCCTCGCCCCGTCATCTCGTGATTCCCTTCTCCGTTTATCTTCGGGTGTGTTTTACTCCGTGTTGCTCTCTATCTTTACCCCCTCCCCCCCTACATTCTATGATAAATTTGTCTCGAAAATCTCGTTTTATGCAACGTTGTGTACTTGAGACGCTTCTAAATTTGTTTATTTACGAATTATCTCTCGTTCGGCGTTTCGCTACAACATTCCTGACGAGCGGTTCGAGAGTCCAATTGTAAACAAAACTATGGCTAACGAAGTTCAGCTACTCGATAATATGATAAAAAGTACGATATCGTGAGATACACATCAATGATATCGTGAATACTATATTGCTATAACCAAAATTTATTTTTGTTGTGTACAGTTTATTGTGTACAGAAATAAAATCTAGAAGTACGTGATGGCGAATTATTTTTCGTGTTGTCAATAACTGATTATTAAAATTTTTATTCACACACACGTGGCGAATTTGGTGAAATCGTTAACAACGCTGCTATGCGAAATCACGCTTTGGAAATTTCAGTGAGAAATCTGCGGTTCGCGACTCGAATTCGCAGTGCTTTCACCCCCCGTCTCGCAGCTCCAGCCCTATCGTCAAAATTAACCCTCCCAATAAACGATCGTTTATCGAGTGACAGAGAAAGGAAGAGAGAGAGAAAGAGAGAGAGAGAGAGAAAGAGAGAGAGAGGAGGGAGAAAGTTAAATAATTAATCTATCGATTCGATTAACGTAAGCCCGCGCGATATTCTCGCGTGATCCCCGCTGAAGAATCTAGGGCGCAATTAATTTTAATCAGACCGCGTCGCGACTTTTACTTAGAGAAGAGAGGAAGAGCGAGTGTAAATAAAATTTCGACTTCTCTCTCACGTGCCGGCCGCTCTCTACCTCCTTCCCATTGCTTTGCATTTTAATTGCATTTCAGTATGCGACCCGTTTTGCATGTTAAAGCCGACCGCGAGCCCACTTATTGCAAGGGGGTGCGGGCGCGTCGCGAGGAGGGTAGGAGGATAAAGGGAGAACGACGACGGGCGGCTCGTTACGTGCCGTTGATGCACAGGGGCGTCGTCGTCGTCATCCTCGTCATCCTCATCGTCGTCGTCGTCGTCCCCGGCCCAGCGCGAATTTGGTCCACGGATCATCTCGCGAGCGAGCGGCGCGGCGCGGCGCGGCGCGGCTGCTGCTGCCTGCGTCCGCTATCGACAGTTTTCCCAATCGTATCCGTTCCGGAGAATATTCTCCCCGGCCGGTCCATCCCCATCCCCTCCGCGTCTCTCCTCGCCGCCGCCGACGCTTTCCGCCCCTCGCCCGCTGGGCGATGCTGGGTGTCGCCGTGAACGCCGCGCGCGATGCAACGCGCGCGCCTCTCATCGTTGCACGAGATGCAAAAATCATTGTATCGCGATTGGATATCAGTCATCCCGGCGAGTGAAGATTGTTCTGGGAATATTTTTTTTCCTACGATCCATTGAAGCATGTAAATAAAATTGAATTAAATTAGCCGCGATAGAGCGAGCTAGTTACAATAATCTAAATTAAATTAAATTGGCGTCTCGGTGTCTCTCTCTCTGTCTCTCTCTCTCTCTTTACATAAATAAATTATGACAGCGTAAACGTGCAGGGAAACTGAAGAAAGCGGGGGAAACAATAAAGGAGCGCGAAGACTGATTGTGATTGGCCCTAAAGTGAATTATTCCCGAGAACGATATTCTTTCTTGCCGCGGACACAAAAATGGCACACACGACGTCATAAACATAAATCAAACAATAATGCCGCTTATACTTCAACGGCATGA